TTAGTTTTCGGACCTTTGATCTTAACGCCGTTTGATATAAGTTTGAAAATTACAAAAATACCACCACTCTAAGTTTAAATAATTATTAATAAAATAAGAAAACATCAAAAATTTGTGGCTGGCGTCGTGAACTATGTTTTCTCGCTGTCTTGAATTTCTTATTATTTTATTTTTCGTTGTTCTTTATTTTTTAATTTTTTTTTATTTTTTAATAATTATTTAAACTGGAGGGGTGACATTTTAGTAATTTTCATACTTAAATCAAACGGAGTTATGGTCAAAGTTTTGAAAACTAACGGCGATGGCCACATTGAGACAAATTTTCAAGTAAGGGGGCAAATCGATGCAATTGAAAGTAGAATGGGGTAAAGTGACATCGAACCAAAGTACAAATGGACAAATCGATGAATTAAAAGTAGAAGGGGTAAAGTGATATCGAACTAAAGTACAAGGGGGCAAATCGATGCAATTGAGAGTACAAGGGGGTAAAGTGATATCTAGTCAAAGTACAAGGGGGTAAAGTGGAATTTACCCTAAAATCAATCAAAATTAAAAGGAGTAGAATTGAATATTATAAAACTCCGAGTGTCGTTTTGCAATGAGGATTTATCCAGACGACGCCGTTTCGCCTGTTTAAAATTAATCGAAATTAAAAGGAGTAGAATTGGATATTATAAAACTCCGAGGGTCGTTTTGCAAAGAGGATTTACCCAGACGACGCCGTTTTGACCCGAAAAATATCTGTTCGGGAAAGGATAAAATATGGATACAAATACAATCGTTTCTGTATCTAGACGGAAAAACACACACTCTCAGTAGCGAGACAGTGAGCGAGCGTGCGTGAGTGAGGGTTGCAATGTCGTCGCTGGTGAACAAGCCGTTGACTTCTCTGTGCGCCGCCACCAATGCGGACCTTCGATCGCCGGAACTATTCATCGGTAAAAGCTGCCGTATCCCGGCCAGAAAGTCTGGCAATAATTTTGGAATCGCCAGCGGCGGTGTTCTTAGCAGAAAAAATCGTTGTAATGACAGCGGAATTGTGTGTAAAGCGGTTTCTGTGGAGCCAGAGACTGAAATTGAGGGACTCAACATTGCCGAAGATGTTACTCAGGTGACACTATTTTTCTCTTATCTGTTTGTACTTTTTATTTAGATGATGTTAATTCTGGTTTGATTGAATGATTTTATATGAATTGGTTACAAAATTCAAGTTTTTTTAAGAATAATTGAAATATTTGAATTGTGATTCTGCATAAGAATGATTTTATTGTTTCGTAAAGAGTGCAATTTAAACAAATAGCTCTATAAAAGTTGAATCTGAAATGATTCCTATTTCAAATAGTTTCTAAAGTTCAATTTGCGTGGAATTATAGTGGGAACTTTTCATGCTTATGGTATTTCTAAAACTGCATTTAAACTCATATCGGTCTGATTGTTTTAGTTGGTTTTGGACGACAAAGATTTCAGGATTAAGTAGGTACTCTGATATTAATGGGATTAAAGAAAAAGTTTTAAGAGAAAATGTTTTTATTTATGTCATGTGTAATATTTTTAGGTAAAGTTAGTCATATATTTACAGCCATTATTCTTTAATATAATGATTCAAGCTTTGTGGAGTGATATCATATATAACACAAACCTAATGCACATGGGAAAAAACTCGATTATCGTTGCATCTTGACTGGGATGTTGCTGACATGATTTTATGCACTTTGTTAATGAATGTCGATGCATGCTCCGAATCCCAGGGTGCATTGATGCCTCATGTTATCTGTGATATGCATTCATGACTTGGGGTACGAAGAGATATAAAATAATCATTCTTATTGTATCATTTATTCGATTAGTGCCATCTGCAAGTACTATTTTCAACGTTTCATCTGCTTGTTCAGTTTTTTCTTCAAACTTCTGTTTCCCTGTAACAGCTCATTGGGAAAACACCGATGGTTTATTTGAATAGTATTGTAAAAGGCTGTGTTGCAAATATTGCTGCGAAGCTTGAGATTATGGAGCCATGCTGCAGTGTTAAGGATAGGTGAGCTGTTCTGGTTTTCCTCTTCAACTTTTTGCATCTGTGGCATCAGATAACTTGCTCATCACTGAACTAAAAACTGTTATTATTAATTATATTCTTATTTGAGCTGTTCAATCTGTACTGTTGTAAATTGTAATGGTAGGCTAATTTCTGGTACTATCTTTTGCTTTCAGGATAGGCTACAGTATGATCACTGATGCTGAGGAGAAAGGGCAAATAAGTCCAGGAAAGGTATCATAATGAATTGCAGTTTCTGATTCTGGCCTAAAATTATTAAAAAAAAAAAAAAAATCACCGGCAGAGCATTGTTGTGCTGTCTTTCTTCCATACAATGCATATATTCCACATTACTGCTGAGACTTACCCTTTTTTATTGAATGTTTGGGCTCTTGATCTATTTCGTTCTCATCCTGGAAATTTGCTATGTGCTAGAGTATACTGGTTGAACCTACAAGTGGAAATACTGGAATTGGCCTTGCATTTATAGCTGCTTCGAAGGGCTACAAGCTCATTTTAACAATGCCTGCATCCATGAGTCTTGAGAGAAGGGTTCTCTTGAAAGCATTTGGAGCTGAACTAGTTTTAACTGAGGCAGCCAAAGGCATGAAAGGAGCTGTTCAAAAAGCTGAAGAAATAGTAAATAACACCCCAAATGCATACATGCTTCAGCAATTCGATAACCCTGCAAATCCCAAGGTTCTTACCTGTTTCTGAACTTTTCACCAGTTACATTATTCCTTCTCTTTTTCTTTAATTTCGTCAATCACTTGACAAAATAAACTGCAGTCCCTTTCTGTTGCAGATGTTGACTGTATTTTTTAGTATCTTTTTATGTAAAATAAAGAATTTGGTGGTTTCTCTTTTTTTGCTCATATCATGCGACATTCAGTTTGAGTTTAGATACAGTGTTAGCGTGCTTCATTGTTTTAGATGTTAATGGAATTGAATTCATAGATGAGGATTTCTAATTACATTCACCCGTTTTGCAGATTCACTATGAAACCACTGGCCCCGAGATTTGGGAAGATACAAAAGGCAAGGTTGACATATTTGTTGCTGGGATTGGTACTGGTGGAACCATTTCAGGTGTTGGTCGTTATCTCAAAGAATATAATCCTAACGTCAAGGTGATAGATTTTATCTGATAAACTCTATTTCACGTAACTTCCGCGAACGCGAATTAATTGCAGATCAACTTCTGATTTGAAACCCATAATGTTTCAAATCATTTCTTGGATGTTATCTCTTGTAAAAGTTCCTTGTTGGCTCTTGTTGCACTAGGTTATTGGCGTCGAACCAACGGAAAGCAACATACTGTCTGGTGGAAAACCTGGTAAGATGGCAGCCGGCTATATCTTTGCTGTTAGTTTCCTCGTCAAATATGTGTATTTTTCTAGTATTTGCAATTTGAAACTGCGCAGGCCCTCACAAAATTCAAGGGATTGGGGCAGGTTTTATTCCGAAGAATCTAGATCAAGATCTGATTGATGAAGTTATAGAGGTGTGCATTTTACCGTTTTAGCATTCTATATAGATTCATTATGTATCCAGTAGTTGCACATTTGATTTATTGACTATGTACACTTCAAGATTTTCTAAGTATCAAAAAATCAAAGCATAATGTTGCTTATATACACTTGTCAAGAATTGAAAAAGGGTATACTTGATTTGCCATGATCATATCTGGATTTTGATTAAATTCATTCTGTAGCATTACATGGTTAATCCTTTTCCACATCTTGTTAACTTAATACAATACTGCCGATCTTTAAAATTTTGAATGTTTACTTCATCTAACCAGATTCAAATACCCTTGCAAAGTTTAGATAGTAAAATTATTTGCTTGATATTCAACGGATCTTATACCACTTGGAAATAGATCATCTATATAAAAAATAATTATATTTTTAATAATCCAAATTTCAAAGGAACCAAATATCAGGTTTAAGCTAGAACCATTTGCGACTCAGTGTGTTAAACCTGATCCTGGGACTAGAATTTACCTGTTTTCTGATACACCAAATTGGCGAGCATTTGTTATTATGTGACTATTTTGGTGAATTATGTGTTTAATACTTGGGCATTTGTCGATCTGCAAGCTTAATCGTTATCTCTTATTGAGTGGCTTGTTCCCTTGTCAGATATCAAGTGACGAAGCTGTGGAAACTGCAAAGCAATTAGCTCTTCAAGAGGGGCTGCTGGTGAGCACATCTGCCGATCTTTATTTTTTTAGACCATAAAGTCCTTATGAAATCATGCTGAACGACTAGCTTATTTGTTATTTATTGCATCTCAAACCATTCATTAGTTGAAGTCACGCTGGAAGGATATATAAACTTTCATATTCCGCAATATTCGATGCTGGAATTATTCAAATGCCTGTTCAAAACTCAAACTACTATGAATTGTTAAATAAGTTTTTTTACTGGATTTATTTTACCAGGTGGGCATTTCTTCAGGAGCAGCTGCTGCTGCTGCTATACAGGTTGGGAAGAGACCAGAAAATGCTGGAAAGCTTATAGCGGTATGTCTATTTTTTTTAATTTTTTTTTCTGGTTGATGATAACTGCCGTCTGCCGATTGCCGTAAAACTGATGTTTTATGTGCATTGACTTTGACTAGCGCGATACCTTATTATTTGATGTGAATATCCCGTTTTTGGTTTGACTTGGTTGAATTGTGTAATCTTGTAGGTTGTGTTCCCTAGCTTCGGGGAAAGATACTTATCCACAGTTCTTTTTCAGTCCATACGCGAAGAATGCGAGACAATGCAGCCTGAAATATGAATACAATCCTTTTTTTTTCTTCTCCCAATCGACGTATTCAAAATAAAATATTTATTAATGGTGGCACTTCATATTTAGCGAATTTTCTTTCACTTTTCCTCAAGTCGTGCATAAACCGTAAACCATACCTGAGCAGGGTCAGTTTTTCTGTCTTTTAGTGCATGTTGTAGCTCAAATGCTGAACCTTTTTCACAGTACAAACGATTTTGAGTTTTCAGTCATATGTAAAAAGTTGATGCTTCCTTCTTTTGTGTGCTTAATTCTAAAAATACGGTTTTACAACTTATCAGCTATTAAAACAACTTATGAAATGTAAGAGCTTATCAACTGTTTAAAATAAGCTTAGCCAAACGGGCTCAAAGTCGATGAATTTACCTACGGATTAAAAGTTAGCTAAAAACGAAATTCCTCCAACATCAAAAACTAAACTTTCTAATTTAATTTCTTATCATCTAAAAAAAAAATTAATTTCTTATAAATTGTTACAACGGTCACATGTGCAAAATCAAAATATTTACCATGGTAATTTTAGGCCCAAATATTTAGTGGGCTAGATCCACCCTTGAGCCCATACCGTTCCATAAGCCTTCAAAGAAAAATAAAAAGAAAAAATAAAAATAAAAATGAGAAAAAGAAAAAGAAAAAATGAAAATAAAAATGAAAATAAAAGTCGGTTTACGACTTCTCTACAACGAGAGACAAGCAATTTCGGGAAAAAAAAATACTGAGAAAAAAAACAAAACAAAACACAGAAGCTAGGGTTTAAAGCAGGTTCAATTTCTCTCTCTCTCTCTCTCTCTCCACAAATCACACACTGCTTACTTTCCTTTGGATGCTCAATCTAATTCTTAATTATCGATGACTGAATCTGGGAATTAGTAGATTAATGTGCTTTGAAATGAAAAAATCTCGGACAGCTGAAAATATTTTTTTGATGAAATGTTTGAGTTTTGGCTTAATTTAATTTTTTGAGGTTTTCAATGTTTAATTAGAAGACAAGCAGTGAGAGAAAGAAACACTGTAGTGATGTATTTTTAGCTCAAATTATTGCTGCTTTGATTGTTGCCAAGTATTTGAGTTAACGTTGTTCTTTCTTTGGGTTGTATAGGAAGAACAATTGCAGCTCATTTTCAATTTGTGTTTTATGTAAATGCCTCAGATCTAGGTACATGAGAAATTTCGTCAATCAAGTACGTTGAATTGTAGTAACATCATCTGATCGAAATATATGTGTGAATTGTGATGGATGCGATTCCTTTTGTTTGTGTGAATGCTAAATGCTAATGATGAAAATCATGATCTGCAGTAGTTTTCGTTCTTGCAAATATATTTGTCAAATTATCAAATTATTATGTTGCAAAATTGTAAACACGAGAGTGGTTATTTTATTTTATTATTATATTCTTATACGTCATGTCATCTGCATCTGCATCTGCTTTTGGCATGGCACAGATGTTAGAACAACATTAGTTTAACTGAGATTCGCATTTTTTTTCTGGTATTACGTATCTCGTCATCTGCACCCAATCAGGGTAAGATCGAACGGATGATGTTCACTAAAATTATGCTTGTTCACTAGTCAACTGTCACTTTCTGTGCATTTTCTAGGATATCTTCTAAAGAATACCCGATTATTTGATATTGTTATGTAAGTTCTCTCTCGTGTTGTGCAATCCTTTGGTGGAGTGTATAATCTGAGTTCTAATTAATGTTTTGGTTCCGTGGTTTCATTCTTGAAACCCTTTGGTAGATTGAGTTAAGAATTCAGCTTTTGATTGTTGTTCAACTTCCCGATTTGCAGATAACATAGGATTACAGTTGTTTATCTTGAGATGTCGGGGCTTATTGGATTTCGCAGCCTTGCACCGAAGACCAAGAATCTGGTTGTTGCTGGAGGGTTAACAGGATTCGTCTTTGGGGTATATTTCTACACAATGAGGGCTGTCGGTGGCACTGATGAACTTCAGATAGCTATCGACAAATTTGAAGATCAGAAACATACGACCGAGCCGGAGGCAACATTGGCACCAAAAGCTTAGTCGTATTCCACATCAATAAAATCTTTGTAATTACCTGAAAGTTTGTTATAACTGAAATATGGTAGCACATTTTGTCGGTAACTTGAATTTTCTGGTTTTTTGAACATTCAAATAAATTCTTTCGAGTTTTTGTTGTACTTTTAAGGCATTCCCACCTTCACTTTGCGGAGTTCAATATTCATGATTAATGAGTTGCACAATGCTTAAAGAAATCACGAGTTTAAGCCGGTTGGCTTACGTCTGCGTCAATGTTTTCATATGTTTTTGGTATTATTTATGACAAATTAAGTACCCTGGTACAGTGTTCATAACTCTGAGTAGTTCATAATTTGCAAAAAAAGGACTTCTACAGTCAGTAGATTAATTTATGCCTCAATCTACGGAAAATACAAAGAAGATGTAATAACACGACAAAAAGGTCTAGTTTCAAGCATTGAACAAATGGCATGGTCTCTAATCTCTAATCGACATATGCGCCTTCAATTTTCCAGCAAGATGTGGCATTATATTGATGCTGTCTTGAATAGACAGTTCAACACACGACTCCAAATCTCTCATGGGGTTCGCACTGTTTGCCTGAAGCTTGGTCGCCTCGTACTTGTCTTGGCACACCACTAGAGATCTCTGCAATTTTTCCTGTATAAAAAAAGACGAAATTAAATGAGAATTCACTTTGTAGCAAACAATTTATACAGGAAATAAGCACAATTGTGTAACATCCATCTTGATTCTTGAATACCGTTCGGAAATAAAGAGCAGCAGAATCAAAGAAGATGAACCATCACATTAGTATTTTAGTCGGATCAATTTTATTATTGTGTTAATCATTCGGAGTAACTCTCTACAGTTTCTTATCCGACACCCGTTTCATCTCAAATCGAGAAGGGCATGCCGACTGTAACACCTAAATCTGCTCTAGTGCTTGGTACACACTATGCTTTACTAATGTAATAATTAATATGACATAATCAACAACAGAAACATTTCATGACAAGACACGAGACTTGGGTGTGATTTGAGCATGTTTAGTAATATCATGAAACCTCGACTCAAAGTAAATCATTTTCTACGGTAATACATGCGAATACGTGAGTGTCAATCATAAAACCTCTAAAACCAGTATCTCGTATTCATTTCATAGATGTTAGCTATTAGTGCCAACACAGCAGCACCGCCAGTAAGTAATGGTTTTCAACCCATTGTGTTAAGATCACATGACTATAGCCACACTTGGCCAAGTATACCTCGATTTGTATACAAAAATGATAAATAACTCACAAGCAGTTTGACCAGACTAACTTTGATTGCAAGAAATCCGATTATCTTGATGCCGTTACTTTGAACATTTAGAGATATATAAAGATGGAGGAAATTTAATTCGATGACAAAAACAATAACTCACAAATTGAAGGGAAAGCACCGGATAAATCAAAGAACACCAGGTCCATGAGAACCGAATAAGACTACCATTTAAAAAAACTACATCTCTCAATACCTTTGATAAATTAACTAAAGTAACTAGTGAGCTGAATGCCTCGACAGTTCGAGATATGTGGGGTCGGTATACATGATAACATATATAATATAAATCCAAGCAATTCATTCATTAAAAATCCACAATTATATGCACAAATCG